TCAACTATTGAAAATAATCAAAATCCAATTTTGCTTTAGAGAAATTAGCATAACAACGACTTCTTAAAATAGGTTATTATCATGCTAAACAAAAATATTTTTAATTGTAAAGTCCTATCCAATAATGTAAAATTAAATTGATTTAAACAGCCAATCATATGAAAGTCTTCCTATTAACACCAGGCCCGCAATTTTGAGAGGTTGTTAAAATTTTTAAATTTCAGCCCGGCTCTAGTAAGAGATACATTGTAATAGTCATATCGTGTGATTATAGTGCGAGTTGATTTTATAATAACCATAAACGATGTATATTAGCTTTAAAAATTGTGACTATTGTGGGAGTAGACTGTAATATCAAAGTTGTATATCAAAGTTGTGCACTGCACAGGTGCGTATATACTGACATACTGTACGCAAAAAATAAGTTTATTTCATTATTCATATTGTAGTCTTTATTAGAGACAACATGTTACATATTGTAGTACTTTGGCCCTAACACTAGCTAAGGTAATAATATATTCACTAACTACGTTAAATTTTTTTTTAAAAAAAAGGAAAAACAGGTTTAAAAAATTAGAGATGCTAACTAAAGATGCGAACTATAATTTACAATTAATATAAACTATACTAGAGTACCAAAAAAGAAGTCTGTAACTTCACGATTGAAGGAACTTAAAAATGAAATAAAGAACTTGAAACAACTACTTAAAGAACGAAAGGTTTCACCCGAAGAGATTTTACAAAACAATTATATAAATGGGACTAGAATATCACATCTTAAAGAAGAAAATATTATATTGAGATCAAGGGAAGAAAATTTAAAACTTGAAAATGAAAGTTTAAAAATTGAAGACGGAAAGTTAAATAGATGGAAAAAAGATGTAAAAAAGGGTTTATGCTGCATTGCTAAAAACATATTCATTGTATCTTCTGTTAAAGTTCTTTATGATATAATTTTTTGAAAAAATTTTTAGCTCTGTAAATAAAAGAACCAACTTGTTAAAATACCGAGAATCTTCATTTTAAGAATCAAAAAAATCAAATTGGACCTTAGTACTAAATAATTACAAACAGACAGTCAATTGACTGTCTGTACAAGCTTGATGTGCAATACCAGTTACATAGATAACACATAATCTGTCAAATGATATGTCTGTGTATTGCTTTAACCAATATAAAAGAGATAAGTTTTAGCTAAATTAGAGCACAAATATTGCAATTTTATTTTCAAATAATGTCAGGTATTATCTTCATCCTATTTTTTTAAATTTTATTTTGTTTTTTAAAAATCTTTTATTATTAGTCAAACAAAATTTTACGTACAATTATACCTACAAAATCAAGGATAATAATATCTTGAAGTTAACATTATTCGACTATGAAGTTTATAATTAGGTTATAAAATCAAGTGACGGATTTATGAAAAGAACAGGCGATAATTCATTTGTCGCTTCTTTTGAAAACATTGTTTTTAATAAGAATGAAGGATTATTGAAAGGTGAAAATCTCATTTTGTATTGTCCAACAAAACTTATTCAAAATTTTGAATCAGAGGAAGAGGATATGGATGATGAAGTAACTAATATAATTAAACATAATACATTTATTAAAATTAAATCCCGGAAGTTTGAATATTATTCCCTTACAAGCGATATGGAAATGCTTGACACAATTATATCTGTACCTTTATTATAAAAGATGAATTTAAAAACAGTCATATTTGATATATCAATATGTAAATTCTAATCGGAATTATTCTACCAGAATTATAAATGTTCAATGCAATAAATTTACTTGTACTCGTATATGAAACAAAAAAAAGTATTGTCAAATTTTTATTATTACAAAAGTCTATTATATACAGTAATCAGAATTCTTAGTCAGAGATCTCAACCACCTTCTTTTATTAACTATTTCATCTAACTCCTTCTTTACTTCAAGACTAAATTGATTACCCATAAATATCAGCGAGGTTAAAGTTTTGTTCACGTGAAGGGAATTAACTAATGCTTTTCCGACAACATTTCCAAGGTCATTGAATGAAAGATTTAAAAAAGATAAACTATTATTTCTGTGAAGTGCATTAGCAAATACTTCACCACCTTCAGGCCCAATTTGGTTATCAAACAGATTTAAATTAGTTAACGTGCTGTTTTGGCTGAGTAAATTTGCTAATGCTTTTCCTACATTAGAGCCAAGCTGATTACATGAAAGATCTAACGAAATTAAAGCGCTATTTTTACAAAGAGAATCTGCTAGTGCTTTTCCAATATCAGATCTAAGTTCAGTATTGGAAAGAATTAAAGTAGTTAATGTTTTGTTTTTTAAAAGAGCGTCTGCTATTGCTTTCCCTCCGTAAGAACCAAGGTTATTAAATAAAAGATCTAAAAAAGTTAAAGCGGCATTTTTACAAAGAGAATCTGCTAGTGCTTTTTTAGCATCGGATCCAAGGTCATTATTTGAAAGCACTAAAGTAGTTAATGTGTTGTTTTTGAAGAGAGCGTCTGCTATTGCTTTCCCTCCGTAAGACTTAAAATTATTTTTTGAAAGATCTAAGAAAGTTAAAGTGTTGTTTTTGCAAAGAGCGTTTGCAAGGGTTATTCCAACATCGGCTCCAAATTCATTATTGGAAAGGAATAAAGTAGTTAACGTATTGTTTTTGCAAAGAGCATTTGCTAGCACGTCTTCTCCTAATGAACCAAGGTTATTATTTGAAAGATCTAAAAAAGTTAATGCGTTGTTTTTATGGTGAGCATTTGAAAATGCTTCTCTTCCCTCAATACCAAGCTGATTATCGCAAAGAACATTTGCTAACACTTTTCCTCCATAAGAGTCAAGTTGATTAGATGAAATATTCAAATAAATTAAACTGTCGTTTTTGAGAAGAGCATCTGCTATCACTGTTATCATATTTTCTCCAAAAAAACCGAGGTTATTTTAGGAAAGATTTAAAGTGTTAAGGTTCTTACTTTTTCGTAGAAACATTGAAATCAAAGAACATTTAGCAGCTGTTACGTGATAACTTTCTTCGCGTTCTTCAAGAAAATTTAACAATCCTCTGCTCAAATGTTTATAATTGATAAAAGTAATAAAGCTTGTATATTCAAATAATGACTTCAGATTATTTTATGAAAAGGCAATTTTAAAAGGGACTAGGAGTGCTTGTTCATCAGCATTTAGTTCTAAAAAACAGATTTTAATGACTCTTGTATCATTAAAGTAAGGTGCACTCCATAATATTGATACAATAATTCTGCACCAAAAATGGTTTACAAGAAGGCATGAAAATAAGATTTTGGGATTATTCTTAAAGTTTTCAAATATTTCAAAGAGGACCTCGTTTGGTAAACGCATGTTTGTAGAAAATGTTTGATCTAAAAAAGTTTGTGATTTAAAAAGTTTTACACATGATCTATTCCAACATAAAAAAATTACTAATTCTTAATCGTTAAGTGTACTTTTTTGAAACAGGTTGGATATGAATATTTCGTCAGAAGCGACAGAATCACGGGAGCATTCATGAATTATAGTGGCTTAGTGCTCGAAAAAAAAAAAATTTAATGATGCCATTATTGTAAAGATGCGGGTCATGCTCTAAAAAAGAGCAGAGATTATCTTTTTGAATTATACAATATCAATATAAAAAAATAGTACAATATTATATTATCGGAATAATAAGGTATAAGCCAGTAATTCTCTGATCTCATTAATGTACTGTTATGCTATACTGTATATTCTGTATATTGCATATTTTAAAACTCGCCTTAATAAGCTTATATATAGTATTAATTTTAAATATTTTTATTATACACAATGCAGATCCTACTGTAATAACTGTATAGTTAAATATTAAGTTTTCTTAATGTACATTATATTGAATATTTTAAAACACGTTCGCCTAGATATTACATTTTTTGTATCATGAACTAAACTTGTTAATTGCTGTAAGATTGCTATACAATCAGATAAATTGGCATCGTTCCTCCTTTATTTTCTGACAAGAAACAACTCCTTTAAATTATACAAAATATCCATCGTTACAATACAAAAATCTTTGCTTTCACGCCTAAGCTCTCGAAAACATGGAATTTGTTTTTCCACCTGAAACAGTCGCTCAAATTACCGTTGCTCTAAACTCTGGTAAATATTCTTTATTTATCTATTTACTTATTTTTTGAAAAGCGAAATGCGCCAGATTACTATCAGTTAGTTTGCGGATATTTATAATAAACTAAAAAGAATTTTCAAATATTAAAAGAACGTATAAAATAAATTTTACAAGTTTACTCGTGTACTTTTAATTGTTACAGCAAGACTTTTTTAAAAGCCAAAGCTAATAAAGTTTATTATATTTTAACCTTTTGAAATTTGTTTTTCAGACTTTACATATACATGTCCACCAGGAAGCGCACCTTTAAATTGCCTATCGCCCATTCTTTTAGGAATGCAACCGAGCGTACCTTTAAATATGTTTTCTCAGGACAACACGCAAGCAGATCAAGCCACACAAGTTTCTCAGTTACTCTCACCAGCACCTTCATCACCACTTTCTATACTTGAATATTGCGACCCTCCCACGGCAGACAAATTGGACATTCCAGAGTTTTTCTAATACAGCAAAGAAAAATATGAAAGTCAAAAAATGGGATGTGGCCAGTGGAGAAAGTCATTAATTGATGAGACAAACTCTTTGGATGGAGATGATAATGATGACACAAGCAGGTACATGCAAGACGCTAGAACAATTTTATTATTTTACACCAAATGAGGAAAAAACACTGAATTGATTATTTTGATCTCAGCACAATGTCACATGCCGAGTCTAGGCGACAAATACACGTTCAATTAGAGCAAAAACGACGTGCGGAAATCAAAGATGGATTTGAGGAACTCCGTAGAGAGCTTCTGCCTACTTATGCAGGTCACAAGATGAGTAAAGCCATTTTACTGCAGAAAGGTGATCACAGTTTTTATTTTATTGATACCATCTAACAATAAACATATAATTTACTGAAAATTACTATTTTTAATTTTTGTGTAAAGCTGTCTCGCATCTTAAGAATCAGTCAAGGAAAGAATCTTTTCTTCTCGATGAAATTGATCGTCTGAGTCAAACTTGTGCCTATTTGAATGAAGAATTGGAATAGGAGAAAATGTAAAAATATTATTTTGCTAATTAGAATGTGTCATTGATATTTGTTTAATTGTTTTATTTAATTTATTTTAATTCCTAATAGAATGTGTGCATTATATAGACAACAGCAAACTCATGATAAAATATATGCGATTAGGTTATGAGCAATTCACTGACACTTTAAGAATTAATCATCCTTTGTTGTTCTCGTTCATAATTGTGTATTTTGTTTTACAATTAACAGTTTTCATATTCACTTTATTTGTAAATATGTATATATTTTTATTTTTTGTGGTTTTGATTCTTTTCCGTCCTCTTTACATAATTTTTTGTTTGGTGTTTATTATTCTCTTTATCAGAATTTTCTAATTTTTGGTTTTTTTTTTTATGTTTTCTACTGAGTTGGTGAGAATAAGGGCGATTACCCATTGAACAAATAAAAATTATTATAATGATTATTAAATATAATGATCGTGTAGCATCTAATAATTTATCTCCATGGCCTTTAAAAGGATCAGTTGCAGGAT